TCAAAGACAAGATCCCTTTTTCGCCCAACACCAAACACGAAAAAGAAAGGACCAAAGGTTCCTAGTACCCGATTGATTCCACTCCACCGAGCAAGCAATCCCTAAAGTTAGCTTTTTTTCTTTTTCTTCCTCCAAATAGGCAAGCACACCTCCTCCTCTCTGTTCTTATCTCCACCAACACCTTAGCAGCAACCAGTAGCTCTTCCTTCTTGCCATCAAGCACCAGGAGCAGATGAGTCACCCAGCTAGCCTTCTTTCTCTCCAATAGCAACAGAAGCCAGCAGCACACTAAATCCATCTCAAAGTTCCCCAAGCTCCAGCAGAAGCCTTCTTTCTCTGCAATAGCAGCAGAAAGTGTCTGGCCTTCTTAATATTTGTTGACAGTAAAGTTGGCACATGTCTAACATAACTTGGCTGGCTGCTGCCATCAATGGTGCCATTTCTGCTTACAGTTGCTTTTAGAGTCCAAGAAATTAGCTTTCAATAATCCACGCAGGTCACTAACTAATCATTGCTAGGCTGTAATTCCGTTTTTCACTTGTCAATTCTTGTGACTAACTATGGTAACTGCTGTTCATTAGACTAAATCATACATATGTATGAGACCATGAAGCAATAGGTGCATACATCATCAGATAAGAGACATAGATCCTTTAGCCTAAACATACACCAAATGCATTAACAAACAGAGAACAAGGTTAGCAGCATCACATGGTGATTGCGGTCCTGTGGACAAACTAACATGTCCGGCTGTCCGCCATCCATGAATCATTCACCCCCTGCCCCAAAGATTCGTACAGGAATACCATAATTTCTTCAGTTGTTTTCTATCTCTACAGATAACTGTAAACTGTGTCCATGCAGTGGCACTCTATATGGAGTGCAGTCTTCTTATATATATGTATGTACGTGAATTAATACACAAAATGCAGTATAGCAAATTGATTATGCTTGCAAATAGTTCAAGTACTGCTCAAGGTTACTAAACTTGTAGTGTAGTTCAGTAACTGGGATATCTATTTTGTTTGTGAAATCTTTGATAGTACAAGGTTAATGAACCGAGATTTCTAACCTTGCAAATATTACAAGTAAATCAAAGTTCAGTAAACTACAGTAAAACATACAAGAGCATGCTAATCTGAAACAAGAGCAGATTATGTAGGGAATTAGAAATTCATGAATGAAAAATTAGATTAAATCTACAACCAAACTTGATCAAACAAGGCACTATTCAGACCAGAATACTAATATCAAAGGATTCATAAACCAAATGAATTAACAAGACCTCACTGGAAGACATCTTGGGGACAGGAGACCCATATGCATTTACCTAAAACAATGCATTATTCAGATGGCGCTGGACGGGCATTTAATCACAAGATCAACTCCCGGCAGGCACAGGGGACATGGTTGAGTAGGAATTCAGACTATCTTTTGTACCACTTTAATTATAATAGGATCAGCTCATGTCAAAAGTGTTTATGCAACAACAAATAAATTGGCCAATATAAAAAACCTTGCGATAATCAGGGTGCAGATTTTATTACCAGAAAAGCACCAAAGTAACTTGAGTTCTCGCCAAAGTTGATACTGATCAGAGAAGCTCCAAAGTAACTCTGCATGAGACAGGAGATTGATAGTCAGTGTGACATAATTGGTACTAATACTGAACATTCTTAAGAAGAGAATATAGCATACTAAAAAAAGAACACTAAAAAAACAACTGCTAGTCAGCACAACACACCATTTGCAGGTTGAAGTGAATCTAGATTTCCTGATTTCTTTGAGAAACAGAGACAGTCATTGAAGTAAAAGGATTTCTGTGTGGAGCATGCCGTAAAATAAGACCCTTCATGCTATTTCATTACTACTCCCTCCATTGCACAACAGAAATCCAAAGTCGTTATCCATGCACAGACCAATGCACCAAGCCTAATAAAAAATGGATGATAAATAACAACATATGCCTCAACCATTTACACATCATTAATCATTAACTAAAAGCATTCCAAGATAGCTTAAGAGCGGTTAATGTGTATCACTAACATAGAGCAACAAAAAGGATCACTTAACAGATTGCTGATAGTCAAATCATGGAAGAGGCAATAGAAGATGTTTCATTCCATAGGAAAGCATACGCGGGGGGAAAGACAAGATTATTTCACCCTTGATAATTGTTTTTTAACAACAACCAAGACACATGAAGCAATGCACATTTTGAAACATCGATACAAGGTAAGAGATTAGGTAGAGAAAATTCATATTTCTTAGGTAAGAAATAGAATGTACAAACCTCCTATTTTAATTTTGTATTGAGAGGAATAATATTGTTTCCACCAGTCACAGAATGTACATGCAAACGGCCATGGATCAGAGCGGAGCGAGCTCGACGGCGCGAGTGTGACGAGCGGCTTTGCCTGCAATTTGCCACAGAGAAGATACCTTACAAATAAGAATAATCACTATTATTTGCAGAAGTTCCTTCAAGATAGATTCGCTGGAGAAATTAACTACATTGCTTGATGCATATGGTGAGCTGGTTGTGGATAGAAAAGCTACATTGGGCAGCTCACTCAGTTTATTGAACCCCTAAAATACAGGAGAGTGCTAGTAGGCTATTCTTTTATACTAAGTTTTACTGAGTAAAACAACAATTGTCGGTTCTAGATTACGAAAGGGGGGCTTGTGAGATTTGTTAAGGAATAAATGTAATGTAATCCACGTAGCACATCAAAAACTGTAGAATCACTTTTCTAAACGTATTCAGGATTATTACAATAGATACCATATGCACATGTGATTTAGCACACAAAAGTACAAACCAAATCATAGTAGTATACAACAGCGAACCTAGGTTCTAGTGACTTTGAAAGGGATCAAAGTTAGTAGGCTAAGAGCACACACAACTGCAGGCGTGGATCCAATGAAGGACATACCTGTTGGGCGCTCCTCGCCGGTGAGCGGCGGCGGCGCGAAGCAGCGACGGCGGAGACCTGGGCGCCTGGGTTGACGGGGCAGGGTCGTTCCGGCGGTGACGGCAGCGGGGCAGGTCGTGGAGTTGGTGGCGCGTCTCGCGGTTCGGCGGCGTAGAGGCGGCGTCACGTTCCACGCACGTCGGCGGCGGCGTGTAGCGTTCGTGAGAGGGCGGGGAGGCCTGGTGGTGTCCGGCGAGTGAGCGGCGGTGTGGGCGAGGGGGAGGCGGCGTGGGAGAGGGGCGTGTGCGTGAGGGAGCGTGATTCGAGAGGGATCGCAATAGGGGAGCGTGATTGGAGGGGATGGATCGGGGAAGTGAGCGATGCGGGGGGCGAGCGCTCGCGTCATCGCGTGGGATCGCACGGGCCTTTCTCCTCGTGGGATCGCACGGGGGAGAGGGAGAGCGACGACCCCAACAATTATCGCAGCATTCCGTTGTCTTAGTTTTGTTTTTTTAGTTGTAGGAGAAATCTATTCTTTAAAGCATCTAAAGATATTTTAATGTGATCTAAATAGTTTATTTGGATTAGTCGTATCTCAATCTGTCTTGAGATTTTTTCCGAAGTTTTAAAACCTTAGTCAACTTGCAGGCGGACTCGTTCGTGGTCGGCCGCTAACCCGCCCCGCTTGCCACAAAGTTTATTAGCGGGCTTGCGGCTTGCCACAAAGCTACGGATCTTGCGGACAAGTGTTCCGCGGACACAACAAACTTGTATGCAAGACCCGCAAGACGTACATTACAGTCCCTCATGCAATCTTAATGAGAACAATGTCGATGTCAAGCCACTGCCGTATGAGAACATAATGATTCGAGAAGCAAAAATTAGCTGTGCATGATGAAGATACATAAGTGCATGGAATAAAGGCACAAAACTCACTAGACTGTTGTGCTTGTTGTAGATTACAGATGCCAGTGCTGCATACAGAGATGCAGTATACATGTTACCGATTTGTTTTGGAAGCAAAACACGATTGCAGTATAATCGTGTTTCGGAAACACGATTATCGCTAATATATTCACAGCAGAAGAGTAACCTAGCAGAAATGGAACACTCACAAACATGAGGTGCATGGCCATCACAGCCGTTATGGTTCTGTTCAGCCACAGATTACACAATCCTTCACTACATGCATGGCTACCGTAGCCATTATGGTTCTATCCGGCCATACATTACATACCAATCCATTACAGTTTATGATCGGAATTCATGGCTACCGAACACTATAGTCGGTAGCTTAGAATGCTGATCCAAATACATGGGTGAGAGTAGATATATAAAGCTACATAGAAACTAAAAGAGCGGTGAACATCAGTTGTGAGCGAGGTTTCAGATACACGCTAATGAGCACTTCGCTACAACTGGTAGAGGCAAAAGCACCTTGACCTTCCTTCGCTGATTAGTTATCTTCAGTTGCTGCACTGTTAACAGAAGAGACCATGAGGCGTGATGTTTAGAGCCAAAAACAGAAGCAAGAAAATCTTCTTATTGCAATTGGCACACGCCATGTAAATATGAAAATACCAGCAAGATTTTTTTTGTCTGAATATAATATTTTCAGATAAAACCTTACAAAGATAAATCAGTAAACTCAACTGGACAAGAATGGAATGTTAAATATTACTTTGAAAAAGGAAGACTACGTACTAACAATACGCCCAGACATTCTGGATTTTGCAGTTCTATTTAGAGAATCAAGATTCAGAAATGATGTACTGACTTCAGTATTTTTTCAAACTTTGGAAAAGGAACACTATGTATTAACAATCTGTCCCATACATTTGCTGACTACTTATTTTCATTGACCAAGAAAATCATATACACATGGAAGGAGTAGCAACAGTTGAAAAACAAAGCGTAGCGAGAAAACATAAACACAGAGCCATAAACAAAAGCAAGGAGGTACCTAGGCTCTGCAGCAACAGCAGCACCATCCGCACACCCATCATCATCGTCATCCATGGTATCTTCATCTATGAAAAGTTTCTTTGCAACTCTTTTGGGCGACGGATGAGTCCTAGAAGTTTACTATGAAAGTATCTTGATGTCGAAGACCTTTTTATGTTCAGGAGCAGCGAAAGCCACAGGCTCACTGGAAGCCATATGCTGATCCCATTTGACTGGTTGATAGATGCTTGCCACACTGTTCAGGAAGAAGATTATGATAATTTAGAGACATTGTTCTTATCTAGATCAGGTTTAGAGGTCGATGGCACATGTAATTCATAAATATTTAGATGAGCACGTCACCTTGCTGCAAGGGCCTTCGCCTCAGGGACCTCAAGATTTATGTCCCACTTGCATGATGATCCCCTAGACAAAGACACTTTATCTGAAACAACAAGTGGTGGATTTAGGTGTAGATTCACAGCAACAATCGCATAGCAACACATTAGACGTACCTGCAAAGCACTTCACAAGAGTCCCAACAAATATCACGGTCCGCGGGGTGGCCTTTCCATCTCTATGGACCTGTTCAACTGGGAACGCAGTTGCCCGCTCACCCCAAAGTATAACATCCAGTGAAGCACCGCTGTCATCCATGGTTCATAACTTAAGCAGCCATATGCAGTAGAGCCCATACAAACATAATATACAAGAATCCATAAAAGAGTTAATGAGTAACATCTGTGGGCGACTTACCTTGCATTGCATATAGTGACTGTCCACTTCAGTACTTCATTCTGGCGTGTTCTACTCCGCATTGATGAAACATTAGAGAGCATAGTGACTACAACAATGACATCTGCACAGGTGAATAACAACACATAAGCTGTTTGTGCAGGTTTGCTAGGACCACAATCTCTATGCATATAGAGATATACCTATGAAGAATTTGTTGTCCTCAACACGCGGTGGCAGCTGGTCCATGGGAGTAAGGGAATAGGTATACATAGGGAAAGCTGGTGGGATCTCAATGACCTCCTCCATAGAAGTCCACCTTGTAAAATTGATCATGTGATCATTATCAACCGGCTTGTACTGTCCAGATTTCCTGACCCCGAAGTATGACAGGTTGTACATATTTCCTTCCTTTATCAAAGGCTTGAACTGCTCATGGTCTGGTGGGTAAATCTGTGCATGGATGCAATTTCCCTGTACAAATAAGCAGAGTTCAGCAAGTCTAGTCTAGGCAATATGAATGGTAATAACGACCCTGCCACTATTGCATATTGTGTCTCCCTTCGGTATTTTAGAGTCTTGTCATGTAACTTTATATCTTACAGCTAGGTTCCATAGTAAAAAACCTACGCAGTTATGGTAAAAATTATGGATCTTACGGCCTATCACAAATATATACATAATCTTATAGTCAGCATACATGTGAGCACAGGAAGACAAGTGACAATATGTACCTCTTCATCAATCAAAACCAAGTCACTATGCAGCAACTTTGATTCATCATGTGGATCATAGAAGTCACATAACCTAGAGGCATGCACACATATGGTCTCACTGTAGTTACCAGGCATGAGACCAGGAATCAACCTATCTCCCATCTGCAGCCATAGAATGAGATGTAGAATTAGTACAACAGTCATGGCACGATAAGTTTCACATGCGAGATTAAGATCAAAAGAGGGAAACCTTGGTATAGAAGACATCATACACATCATGTGAGACTAGGAATCAACCTATCTTCCCCTTGCTGGCACCGTCATGAGCCTCCAGCGCTTCCTGCAGTCAATCAATGACTAAATGCATCAGGTGCCTACAACCATGATGCATAAACCAACACATTGTATCCCCTTACAACCCCACATCGAATTCAGCCCTGAACATGAGTCCTCGCCCCCATGTGTAACATGATGTAGCTTCTACATCCACATCACTAACCAAAGTCCTACTAAACTTATGATGACAAGAATAAGATCTGGAAAAAGGAGCCATGCCCCCACTGCAATAATCTAGGACCAAATATTTAAGAATTCCAAAAGACAGTAACATAAATAAAGTTGAAATGCTAAACTGAAAGGAGTTCTATATCTACAAAGACAAAAAAAATGTCATTTTCTTCTCCAGTTCTCCCTGTCTTGCACCCCTTATTTGCCACCCTTGTTTGCTCAACCTGACACCTCCTTTCCTCAAATATCGTCACCATCGCCAATATCATCTTCTGATAATTTAACATCTGATAAACCTGAAACAAGAGCGAGTAATGAGTTATAAGGTGTCATTATTGCTCAAACAACAATACTCAAACTAACAATATGCTACTTTGTACAATTCAAAGAAAATGTACCTTCTGCTCTCAACCAATCCTACAGGCATACTAAGGCTTGAACTTTCTTGCTTGTTGGTCGACTTCTGTAGTCACTAACAATTCTTCCACTAGTGGAAAATGCAGATTCAGAAGCTACAGTCGATGCGGGTGCTGCAAACACATCCCTTACCATACGAGAAACCACAGGATACTTTGTAGAATGCATCATCCACCACTGCAGAATATCAAATTTCTTTTGTCGAGGGAAAGATCATCTTGTAGATATGTGTCAAGCTCACTTTTCACTCTCTTCCTTTTTTGTGCTGCAAGATGTTGTTCAAAGTCTGCCCAACAGTCTTCTTCATCAATACTTCCATCATTGGGCTCTGGTTGTGAGTAGTTTAAATCAGGTGCCATTGATGAATATGCAGAAAACAGATTTTGCAATGTGGCATTTACCATTTCAGTGTATGCTGGACCTTTATCACCAAAACCAGTGTCCAAACGAAATGATACAAAACTGAGCTTAAACCTAGGATCTAGAACTACTAGAACACATATCTGCAACAAGCATATGTCCTAGTATTTATGAAACTTCAGTTTCATTTTGCTCGCCATAACTATAATGGAAATATATGTATTTGATTCCAAAGTTTCTATTTTCCCTTTGACTTTCCATAGGACATGGAAACAGTGGTTTGCTGTTGGGTATAATGTACCAGAAACTACATTTGTAGCATCATAGAAGGGTTTGAACACATTGCAAAGTAGGTCTGCCATGTTCCAATCTGTATTAGAAGGCTTGTCCATGTAATTAGGATCTTGTGACTCCATAACATCAAAGACTGCCCTATACTCTATTACAGACTTCAGCATTAAATAAGTTGAGTTCCACCGAGTTGGAACATCAAGAGACGGTCTCTTCTCACAAGATATACCTAATTGTACAATGATTTCCTCGCAACGCTATTTACGGGCCTGTGAGCTTCTAATGTACTTGACACTATCTCGAATGCGGTCAGTAGCACCATCTATCGCCTTAAATCCCTCCTTGACAATAAGGTTCAACACATGCGCTACACAACGCATATGTAGCAGATCACCATTTCCGAGCATAAGGTGTCTTTCTAAAAGATTTTTCCTTAAGGAACCAACCATGTTGTTGTTGTTCTTTGCATTATCTAATGTGATGCTAAATACCTTGTGCTCTAACTTCCATTCTTGCAAACACTTCAACAATGCATTAAACAAAGTAAAACCATCATGGGGCGAAGCTACAGGACCAAAACCTATTATTCTCTTCTGCAACATCCAGTCATTATCAATGAAGTGGCAAGTAATGCACAAGTAACCTAGGTTCTGATTTGAAGTCCACAGATCAGCAGTTAGACAGACCCTTGAATTTGAATTTTTGATAGTTTCCTGAAGGGCTAACCTTCAATCCTCATATGAGCTCATAATATCCTCAGCAACTGTAGTTCTAGACATTATGGTAAACCAAGGATTTAAGGTAGCAATAAATTTCTAAAACGGTGCATGGTTAACTAAACTAAAGGGCAGCTCCTGCAATACGATAAAGTTGACCATGGCTTTACGTGAGACCTCTTGGTCAAATTTCCAATTCTTCAGAGCTAGTGAATCGGGGGATAGTCCTGTGTTCATGCTTTCAACCAACTGGTTCATTCTAGTCCTTTCTTTGCACACTTTCAAATGCCTACGACAAGCACTTCTACCATTATCTCGAGTAGCAGACAAGAGCTCCAAACAATGAATACATTTAGCTTGTACTACTAGATTCCCCTCATAAATAGGCTCAAATTCTTTCCACACATCAGATCTAAGTTTACGTCTCTTAATTGGTCTTGATGCATCTATACAATAAGTATGTAAGTATTGATTAGTACAAGCATTTACTAAAGTATACATAGTCAGTAACTAAAGGCATCTCATGCAGCAAGAAAATTCATCTAAAGGACTAGGACAGTAGAAACAGGACCCTAACCAAGACAGAACAAATCAACAAAGTCAAGACAGCAAGAAAAATTTGAGACATAAACTGGTTGCTTCAATATGCAGGAAGTTAAATCTAACCTGGGCCAAGATCAGGAGAAATAACCATTCTTGTATCATCAAATGAAGACGAAGATGATGATCTTACAGATAGTACCGGAGACTGGCTCATCCTTGGTGACTGTAGCATTCTATTAAGTACCGGAGATCTCACATAATGCACACGTGAAGCAAATGACTTCCTCTGCATTCCTTCCGAATGATTTGAAGCATTAACAACAGATGACTTCCATTTCAACAGCAAGGACTTGATCCTATCCACGCTCCTTGATGCTGCATCTTTGCCAAGATTAGGAGAAGCAATCGTTCTTGTATCATCAGGTAAGGTTGAAGATGACAATCCTGCACATGGTGACCTCTGGTGTTTGGCTCTGGAGTGGCGCATCCTTGGCGATGCTAGGATCCTATTCAGTAGCGGGGACCTCACAAATTGCACGTTCGAAGCAGATGACTTCCTCCGCTTCTCTGTTGGAGGCTTTGGAGCATTAACAGCAGATGACATCCATTTCACTAGCAATGACTTCTTCACGTTCACACTCCTTGAAGTTGTATGCTTACTGCTTTGTTGATCTGCTTCTTGACCACTCAATTCTTCTGGCGCAAGCTCGAATGGTAGGGTTGCCATGTCCACACCAGCACATCTAGATAGAATACAATAACATGATAAGCTAGAGGACAATCAAATGGTGGCAACAAAATGTGGACTACAGTAAAATTAGATATTTGTAGCTCAACATTAGTTTGATATTATCATGCTAATAGCTTACAAGTTATGATAATAGCTCAACATTAGTTTGATATTATCATGCTCGCGGAGAAGATAAGAAGTAACTGTCTTCGTCAGAGGATAAAAGATGAATGTAGCTTACAAGTTATGGTGCACAAAAACACACATGCACAAAGGAACATATCTGAACCTACGGTACAAAGTGAGACAGTAGGTATTGCATCTCCATCAATATTACAAAGAATCATGGTGTTGCCAGGAATGATGTTCAAATTTCGTGTAGCAGTTTTGATCAGCAAAAGACTAACAAATGTTTGCAAGGTGCCATTTGTACTTTGTATGCAAGAAAAATCTGATCCTGACAACCACCGCACAAATCAATAAAAAGTCTTTGATCATATTGTCTTACTAACACTTAACACATGTAAAATTAGAAAATAGCTTTCAAAGTGAGGATCCCACATTTCAGACACTTATAATGTTATTATCAAACCCATGTTTATGTAGTATCACCAAGAAGGTTGCCTTAAAATTATTAAGGTAGAAACAATTGTACAGCCTTAGATGTCAACTCTCAACAGCGCACTTCAAGAAATATGAATATGCTTTCAACACCTGCTGGTATATACAAGGTATAAGATGCAATGTAGTGAAATGCATGGACAAGCTCTAATACTCCATTATTAAGAAAATGTTCTTTTAGCTTTCCTAACACAAGAGGATGACAATCAATTCTTCCACCCATGACATATCTACTCCTCTTATCGTTCCCACCTTCAATTAATAACACTCAATCCACCACATTCATGCAAACTCCAATTTGCAATAACTGGGATTTTTAGCAAACACCAGCTTAAAAACCTTAAAGAATGTCTCTTTGATATCAAAACCAAGTTTCTTATACAAAGCTTATAGTCTATTGGAAAATTGTAATGTGTCTGCTAACCTACTGCGAATTCTAGAATCTCTGTACAAACAACTAACATCCAAAAGACCACGGCCTAAGCCTTATACTCATTGGGATCAGTTGGAAACCTTCTACACTAGAGGTAAACAACCAAAACCAAAGGGAACCGAGCAAAATCCTTACCCATATTTATCTGTCTATAAGAAATTGCAGGACGACGAAGCCACACCCGAGATCTGGCGCCCCAATCCCGCAGAAGCCGACGCTAGGATCTTGGAGGCTTCATGGCCCCCGTCCTCTCCTGCCTCCTCTTGCTCCACCATGGAGGAGCCCGGGTCGAGGGCTAGGTTTCCGCCGCCTGCCACGGACGGAATCGGCATTTCCATCTGCACCAAGGGCCAGGACGAGACGGAAGGGAGAGCTGAGGACAGCAGGCGAGCGTGGCCAGCGTGGTGGCTCGAGCGAGTGCGGGCGAGCGTGGACAGCGGGCAAGCGCGGCCAGCGAGCGAGCACGGCGGCGCGGGCAAGCGCAGCCAGCTCGGCCAGCAGGCGAGCACGGCCGCACGCCCGAGCGCAGCCTGCCGGTGGCACAGCCGGGGCGGAGGCACGGCGACGGCGCGGGCGCGCGACCTGCGCGAACGGGGAGCGCAGCCTGCGGCGGTGCGGCCAGCGTGTACGGCGAGCGTGGCCGGCGCGGCTTGAACGGGAGGGCCGGTAGGGTTCAGGACGAGCCGGAAGGGAGAGCAGAGGAGGGTCTTGCGGGTCTTGCGGGTTGTTGCGAGGCTTCTCGCTCGCCCAACGGGCTTGGAGGGTTGGAAGTCGGTGAGCCACGAAAAAATTGCAGCCGGTCCACAACAGCCACGAAGCCCAGTTTTACGGGGTGAGCGGGCGAGTTACGTTAACAACCCGCCCCGCCTGCAACTTGAAACCTTAGTATCGGTATTTGCGCTTATATATACAACAAAGTTTTAAAACTTAGTACCAGCGGACGAACTGTTGATTTTCACCTAAAATTTGCCATCTTCTTGCCATGGAAATGACACGAAAAATCTTTTCGTTGTTTCCTTATTTCCCCGACGAAACTTACATACCATACAACTGGATGGAACCCACCAAAACATTGGACATGCGTACTTCCCCAGTAGGAACTCGGAAAACCAGAAGTTTTAGAGAAAATCAAAATGTTAGCTCAAAGAACAGGAACTCCGATCCTGCTTCTGTCTTTCTGACCTTGTTTTGACCGCCACCTTACACTGACCTCCTCAGTACCGGCTTGGTCGGCTTCTCCTCCTCCAGGGAGATCATACGCCACCTTACACAGTTACACTGTCCAAGAGGCCGACCTCCTGAGCACCGGCTTGGTCGGCTTCTCCTCCTCCAGGGAGATCATGCCGAGGTGAGACGGGTCCTCCAGCATCATTTTGGCCACCAGGTACCCCGCGATGGACCACGTCTGGAACTTCCTCGCCTGCTTGCCGATGTAGCGGCCCAGCTTGCCGTCGTAGTACTCTGGCCAGCCGTCCCTCGCGAGCCTCGCCTCGGCTAGGTCGATGGCGCGCCGAGCAATCTTCAGCCTCCCGGTCTTGATGCATGCCGCGGTGAGCAGCCACAGTAGCACTGCAGGAAAGTCAGATGTGAGCTGCTCAACTGGTCAAGTTGTTTGCGTTTCTGAAAACCATGGTGCAGAGTGCAGACGATGAAATGGGACAACTGCCCGAACAGGCGATCCTCAAGTTTTACTGACCTGGCCAAGATCCCCCGTTGTGGTAGCTCCATCTTGTGTTCTTGGGGTCGCAGCCGGTGACTATCTGCCACTCGTGTCCCTCGATGGCCGGGTAGCATATCTTGACAGGCATCTCGCCGACGAGGTCCTCCCACCGCTCCTCGATGAGGTCCATGATGGCCGCTGCCTGGTCGGGCGTGGCGAGCGACGCGAGGATGGCGACGCAGTTGCCGAGCGCGAACCACCGGAAGTCCATCCGGGCGGGGCTGACGTTGCCGACGAAGTAGCCGCCGCGGGTGGGCATGAAGTCGAAGAGCCAGTCCGGGATGGACTCCGGGTTGACGTTGAACTTGTTGACGGCCGTGTGCGAGTACTCCTCCGTCTTGAACCGGTAGATGTCGTTGAGCTGCTGGAAGTCCAGCCAGAAGTAGCTCCGCATGTGGTAGCTCAGCGCCGTCAGCCGCGTCACGATCCGCTCCATCATCTCCTTCCCCTCCGCGTCCGGCTTCAGCATCAGCAGCGCGCACCGAAGCGCCATGAAGAACAGGGCCTGGATCTCGATCGGGTACCCGTACACACCCTGCATGCGATTCAATCGGTCGGTCGGTTTATTTAACTGACGGATTTCTTGACGACGACACTGACACTCGGCTGCTCTGCTTGCTTACCATCCTGCGGTCGATCATGCAGCAGCCGTCGGCGCAGAGCAGGGTGGGGAAGGTGTCGAAGCCCTCGGCAAGGCACTGGTTCATGATGAGCCGGATGCCCTTCTGGCACATGGGCGTCTCGGCGAGCGTCATGTCGCCGGTGGACTTGGTGTAGGCCCTCAGGATGATGATCCACCAGAACCCGGAATCCACCGGCGCCACACGCCCGATGGCGCTCTCCCCGAAGTCGGCCACCAGCTTGTCGACGCCGCGCCTGGGGTCCTTGAGCACCTTGAAGCTCGCCGGCATGGCGCCCTCGCCGAGCTTGAAGCGGTCGATCCGCTTCTCCCACCCCTGCAGCACCAGCGTCTTCAGCAGGAAGTTCCGCACGATTTCGGGCTCCCCGTTCATCAAGAACGCCAACGCGCTGGGGACGAAGTCCCTAACGAACACCTGCATCCCGGATCAATCAAATGAATGAAGATTATACTTGGCGAGACAAAATATTTCCGGCCTTATTCTGCATAATATCAAATAATACTCCCTCCGGTCAGAAAATACATCATTTAGGATAGAGTTTTGTTGAACCTTAAAAACTACAAACATCAATAGTTTTTAGATTATTTAGTTTGAAAACATATAAATTATAGGGATGTAAATTTGTATTCAGCTGTACCTATATAATCTCGTAAATTTGATGAATTTTAAGAATTATGTATTTTCTATACAATAACTCAGTGATCAAAGACTGTACAAAATCAGACATGACAAGTATTTTTGATAAGAGGGAATATGTGGCGACTACTAGGTACGAAACATGTGTACACTACAGCCACTTGCCCGTTCTTCCAAGTAACCATGCAGTTCGAAGTACTGTATTTATCTTGATCAGCATATAATAACCCTACTTTCCAAAAAGAATCTCGATCAACATATATAGGAGTACTAACAGAATCCAACTACCCAAGATGCAAAGCAACTAGGACGCACGACACAGAGCAAGAAAGTGTGTCTGAGCAAGGCAGCAGCATGCCGTTGTCGTGTTATACCATACTACCTGGTCGTAGTTGAGCACTTCGCCGTCGGCGGAGTGGTCGACGGCGGCGATGGTGCCTATCGGCTGGCCGCGGAAGGACACGATGGAGCGGCGCAGCGCGTCCCAGGCCTCGCCGATCAGCGGGTGGGGCTCGAACGAGAGCCGCGTGGAGGAGGCCGGCGTGCCGGAGTAGGACCGCAGCCCGCCGCCGGGGGAGTACATGCTCTCGTAGCTCTCCATCCCTCCGCCGTAGTAGCCCCAGCCCCAGCCGCCGCGGCTGGCCGTGCCAGCGCCGGCGATCGAGAGCTCGCCGAGGGAGCGGTCGTCGAACGACCGCTGCCTCTCCACGTTGATCCGCGGCTTGTGGTTCAGCAGCCGCGTCAGGTCGAAGTCGTCCGGGTCCGCCAGCGACGCCTGCGACGATGCCTTGCGCATCGCCGCCGCCTCCATCTCGAACGCCGCCACCGTCCCCGTCTTCGCTCCCGGATACGTACGGTCCCCCGGCCGGGCCCCACCCTGCCGTGCAGCGAGACGGCGGCGACGAGGAAGGTAACAGAAAGAAAACAGGAGGACCGAGAGAGAGTC